CTGAATTTTAAGAGATTCGGGAAAGCTTATCAATGGTGGCATACTTGTGAAGCCAGAGATTCAGAGTCAAACCTAATTTTGTCACCTTTAGGATAAGAATGTGTTTGGAACTTTAACGCTAGTGGTCTGTAACTAGCTCTTACCGGTTTTCGCTGGCACGGTGTTCTCTCTGGAAGAATTTTAACATCCCTGAAAATCTGTTTTCCACCGATGGTGTTGGAAAAATTTAGGAACTCACTGGCGTCTACAGATGAGTTGGATTTTGACGGGATCGGCGAATGCATACCAGGGTGACTTCTTTTTCAGCTTGCGCACACACGTGATGTTTTTAAGGCATGTGTGTCCTATTGCGTGCTTGACCATTTTATTTTTTTTAAACACCACTGAAACAACACAATTCAGGAAATTAGTTGTCTCGTTCATGTGGTCTACAATTTCTGAGTGGTTAAGGTTGAAAGATACTTAAGTGGATTAAGAATGTTCTAGTCAAATTGCACCCATCTCATGTCATCTGTATAGTTGCAGTGACCATTATCACACTGTTTTTCACTAGGGTGGTCAAAAAAACCTGGAATGGCGAGAACTAATATAAGCTTGTCCTTTTCAGGATAAACCGAGTGGCACGAATCGTTAAAACTGTTAGGAATTGTGTCGGTAGAAATGCTAGATAGCGTCCTTTTCCTACGTTTGGCTGGAAGTAGGGACTTTCAATTCTTTTTCATGTATGATAAGAAAGTTAGAAGTAACAAATGGATTGAACAAAGTGTTGAAATAGAAACAGGGATGCAAACAATCAAGGTAGAGCCCTCGAGATAGTTCTGAAATCGAGATCTGTGTTTGAAAAAATTGCGTGTCGGGGCAATAATGAAGAACTTACGCGGAAATCACATCATTGTCTACACTGAATCATCATATCGCGACAATTAGCCTTATGATACTTAGTACTTCTAAAAAACAAATTTAGGCTGGAAATTGAATAATATATTTAATGTGAGTAGAGACAGGTTGTACAGAATGATCACGTTTACGGGACTTAGCCTTGCCGTCCGATTGAATTCCTGAATATTCCTGCGTTCACAATTGCTGGTTTTCTCTGTGTTAGATGTTGACCAGTTTTTTTGATTGATCACATAATGTTCTTGTTGTTACGTTTGTACTATTTAAACTTGGATTAAATTTCATTTGGTTATTTATCCCCTGAAGAAGTGGCGTATGCTAAGTCACAAAACGTCAGAAAAAATATTTTTCTACTCATTGGGATACTACAAATATATTGTTTACCTATAACAATTTACCCAATTCTCAATTTATTCGAAATTATCAAGTCAAACCTTGCTAATGATACCTATATACGTTTATACGTAAATGTTTCTGAAAGGTGTTACCTCTCGTAATTCCAAGAGTATGTAATCAGTCACACTCTGGGAGAATCTTAGGATAACTGCATGCCTTGGTCTGAACGCATCGTTCAGGCCTAGAACATGGCATCAATTACGGTAGTCTATGAGTGAAACAGTTTTACGCATTTCATGAGTGAAATACAGTTGTACACATTCCACCTTCAGTACATTGGATAAAATAAGTTGGAAAATAAGAGTGAATAATATTTAACGATGGTTATTACACATGTCTTATAAAGAACGATTCTATATTCACTCTCAAAGAAGTTGTGAAGAATGAAGCCTAGCAATTTACGCATTTTAGACGCTTTCGTGGAGATATGTTCGGGAAAGTTAAGACTATACCAGTACTGTGCATCAAGGTCAGTTATTGAGGTGAGTTTCGGCAGAACGTTCTTGTCAAGTGTTAGTTTTACCTTAAAATGCGTGTCACAAGTACATGACCAGCCTAATTTTTCTGTGTTAATTTTCAAGGTCCAGCGCTTATACCAGTTATCTGCTTTGTTGAGTTCATGCTTGATTGTTTGCAAAGTATTACGTACATTGCAAATATTTGTCTTAAAGATGACTTTTAAGTCATAAGTGTAAAGGTAGGTGTTACCAGTGCATAAAACACCTGCACATATTGTTGATGCAGGTTGTAAACGAAGTAGTAACGACAGCACATATAGACAGTTCAAACAAGCAAGGAACCAGTGCACGAAAACAGATAGAGCTAATCTATAAATTCATCTCCGATCCGAAAACCATTTTCCGTCATGCAACCACTCTTTAACGAGCCGAAACCGGAGTTTCCCCATTGCTAGGTCCTAATGGCCCAACCAACATTGATGGTGACGCCGCCAATCTCCTGACAAAACAACACATTCGGACATTTCAACTGTCTCATGCAAATTACGAAGATGAAAGTATCACCTGCAATTCAACAGAACTCTTAGAAGTGAATTGGTGTATCAGAAACTGCAGAACCTAAAAAAGGACACTTCTCCTGGCCAGGATATGATCCATTCTGTTGCACTAAAGGAAGCGGCTTCAGTCTTGACAACACGTAGAGTGTAGTTCTCATGTTTGCTAAGCCGAGGCGCGGTATCAGAAACTTGGAATTTGGCTCACATTACATCAATTATCAAGAGAGATCAATGCAACAAACCACCAAGCTAACGGCCTTTTGTGGTTCTCTCAACACCCTCAAGAATTATGAAGTTCTTTACATACGATAGTCTACGTGATTACTTACTATCCATAACCTTCTTTTCACCCCAACAGAACAGTTTCAGGGAAAGTTTTCTTGTATAACCAATCTGGTGGCTGCAATGGACAGATGGACAACCATGCTTCATCCCAAGGAGGAGGCTTGTAGTGGTATTAGTTCCTAACCAAACGGTCTTTGAAGCTGAACATATAGGTACTGAGAAGATTCACTTTCAACATATAACACTAAGAGGAGGCTAAAAATGGTGAACGCGGGAACATTCATTCAAGAATTAATATGCATGACATAGCTCGGCCTTACAGATATGGTCATTCTTGTGTAACACATACTTTTCCATACTAAATATATTACTTTCTACCCAACTAAGATATGTTCTTCACAAGTGCTAAACATAATATTTTTGATTGTCATGAAACGGCAAGTCAGTGTAGACAGCGATGTGATTTCCGCGTAAGATCTTAGAGATTGGATAGTCACATGATGACAAATCCAAAATTTTGGGGCTAGGTCTATTATTGTAATAGTACTAATAACGAAGTAGACTGCATATTTAAAGGCTGACATCTCAGGAGAACCTGACTTGACTTCAAATTTGGATGGATAACAACGCACATTTCTGTTCATTTCGACGGTAGAACCCTTTAACTAGTCTTCAACAGCTTTGTTCGACCCCATTTAGAGTATGGGGACATCATACTCAACACTTCACTCCAAAAGGGTAAGGATACATTGGGACTCATCCAGCGTTGAGTCACGAATTCAGTCCGCGGACCTAAGCTCAAACCTCATGAAGAGTGGTTCAAATCACTGAGACTTTACCCATTAGAGTATAAGCGTCTTAGAGGTGACCTTCTAACAACATGCTACATCCTAGATATTTCTGAACATCCCCCCAAATACCTATTGAAGCTCGATCCCAACACAAACCTTGGGGGTAACACCCGGAAGGTGAACACACAATATAGAGGGATGGACTATAGGCACACATTTTACTCCCTAAGAATAGTTAATTGCTGGAGTTCACTGTCGACTTCCCAGGAGTCCCTTATGTGGAAACTTGACACATTCTTAAGGAATGAAGACAATATCTCATTACAACTTACTAAGCTACAAGTATTTGACCACAGATGTCTTAGAAATATTGCTTGCGTCTGTTGGGATCATCGGGTAAGTAATAGTGAGGTTAGACACAGGGTATTAGGGAATGATGGTAAATCAGTTGATGGGGTTGTGAATCTTCATCGACTGAGATGGTTGGGCCACGTGTTACGTATGCTTGAACGCCGATTACCACGACGTGTGATGCTAACCGGTGTTGGAGATGGTTGGAAGAAAGTTAGAGACGGCCAAACCAAAACGTGGCATCAGTGCTTGAATTCACTAACTTCTAGTCTAAACCATGGTGGGAGATTCAGACTACTTGGTTGGGGTCTGCGTGACTATCGTAACCAATGGCTGGAGACTCTTGATGACATGGCTCAGAATCGATCACAATAGCGTCGGTGTATACACTTTCTGTCTTCCCTTAAACTGTGAGATTAAAATTGCACTACATCTTTTTTTCTACCACCTAATTCTTTCTTCCTGTACTATGTCCTGTTATGCAATCTTTCTTTTATATACTATCACCTCTGAATTAACTACTTTTATGAATCCGGTGTTCATCCTGTTGTGTTAATGAGGTATGGCAACTTTGACCGATACATATATGTGCCTGGTCCTACGTTGTAGCTGATTGACTGACTGACTGACTGACAATTTACTAATATTTTTCTCTTTTATCGTTAAATATACCTAGATTCCTAGCTAGCAGCATATATGATCCATTTTTACTAGATACGAAGGCCCATTAAGCAAAAGCTCCCATCTCTTCCAGAGCCCACTGAACCGTCTGGACGTAAACCGCTACACTAGGACACCATATTTTTGACTTGTGACCTTGAGGATGTCCTCTTCGAAGCTGACATTCCATAACAGGTGTGTTTCTGCTTTCTTCCTCCATGCTGTCAAATTAGTGAATTCGCCCTCAATACTATTCAGGAGCGGTGGCCAAAAATTTTATCTCAGCTTATCGACTCGATCTACCGGAATCGTGAAACGTATTGTAACGATGCTCGTCAGGTCAGTTACAATAGGTTCTGACGCATATTTTCTTAGGACATATCCGACAAGTTAAAAGAACTAACGCGACGTATTTGTCACTTAAGATATGACATAATGACGAACAAACCAATCACACTCTTATCGTTCTCACCTCTTGGTTCTACTGAGTTGGAACTCTGGAATCACTTACTGTCTGTACAAGGAGTTAAACTTAGACAATCAGAGGATACAAAATCTGAAGGTCTACACATGTGCTGGTATGATCTTCCGTGGCTATTCGCTGAATGCTATCTTTATCGTCGTGTTGTCGATGTGGTTGTGCAAAGGTGAGTTTGGAACCATGTATAGATTAATTTTTAGTGGTCTAAGTGAATTTGACCCTTTTTTCTTAAAAAAGAAACATTGCTTCAAAAAGGCTGGACCTTTCATAAATTCTGTCCTTCACTGCTTGACAAAACTGTCAGATTTACCTCCTGAACGAGCGTTCAACTTTTTCATAAATGTGGGTAACATGAAATGTATAATATTTTACTTCTTCAACTGTGAATTTTGTTATTAAATATCTAGAAAAACTGCAAAGGTCATGAAGCTAGACAGATTTGGGTTAATGTGGTATACTAAGCATGAATTCAGCAAATGTCATACGATTGTACGTTTGGGAACTGAAAATGGACAATCACTTCGTATGAGTCTTAATTTAATTTGCAATGGATTTAGTTATTTGTTTGTGGAAAATTTGCCCACTCTTAGTTAGCATATGTATTTTCTGTACAGATTGCCTTGATATTGCCATTTCGTCACAATTTTGTATGGAATCGGTAAAATGTTGCTGGCAGGGTAATCTCAGACGAGCATTTCGAATCTAATTAAGATTCATATCCTTCACAGGTAAATAGCTATCTGGGTCCTTTAGTGGTTAACGCGTCGAGGGTTTGTATTAAAATGTCTTGGATTCAGTTCTCGGAGTGGATATCAATTCTGAGATTCAGGTTCATCCAGCTAACGAGTCCCAAATAAAGTCAAGTATGCACTCTGGACGCCACTGCTAGTTCAATCCTACCTATTCTATGTTCGCTCCAAACAGGTCATCCCAATCTATTGTTGTCCTCGAGTTAGTACTCTTATCACATTCAGACTTCCAAAATATGAGTTATCATCATTACGATATTACAGACCATCTTAAGGCTTCGATCATACTAGTGACTTGTCTCCATCATTGGTGCATTGAGTAAGTAGTGATAAACTGGGAATCCCATTCTTATGATTAGTGTTGCTGCTAATTCTCTAGTGAGTCATGCTTTGTGTAGTTTCTTAAAGAGCTTTTATGCACTTGGGCTAAGAAGTTTAAATTAGATTCAACAACAGCTGAACTAATTACCAAATTTAATCCACTGAGGTCATGCTATGGTATCAATAATTTTCTGCCTCCAATACACAGTGATAAATAGCGTCAAGGAAGTCTATATTCAAGTGATCGAAAACGATGGATCGTAGCACATTATCTACCCAACTTCTTAGTCTAGGCTACAAAATTCTAGTGGGAAGACAGTATCACTTGTAAATAGGTGTATATAAGTGACACCATGAACTTTAATCCGTTTATTCATTATTTATCATGTAAGTCGTTCACAGTATATCTTTAAAGATTCGGTAAGTCCTTCGTGCAAATATCTTTTTCCCCATTACCATATATATTATAATACCAGTAGGGCCGAATATGTAGTTTAAATTATTCTTATAGTGAAAAGGACTTAATTTTCTTTTCCAGCAATAATCATGTATGGGTCACACTGCAAGCATGATGATTAATTACCTCCCGGTTTCTGAAACTGAAGTAACCGGAGAAAGGGTTGAAACAAGGACTTGGCGACTAAAATCCGAATATCTTAATTACTTACCCGCTACTCTACAAAGTTCAGCTACTTTTCATGCGGTCAGGTTGTATAAATGCGGTTTTCCTCGGCGATAAATACGCGCTCGAAAAGTGGAAGAAGGAATGTCAGTTGCCACAACTTAACATTCTATTGACTTTCATTTCCAACTTGGGTAGAAAAATCATACTTAATGCGACAGCTCCATTTGTTTCCCAGGAATAAGAAAACGCACTTGACTAAGGTTCAACGCTAAAACGATACCGATAAATGTTGTATTGACAAAATAACATATGCAAAATACATCTTAACCTTTAAATGAAAAGAAAACATTTAGTGGCTATTCGACCTTTCTGAAAACTAAAACTTATTGAAGGTGTAGACTAACATCGTACCTAATCATACTCGTTATACTATATTTAAGTTGTTCTCTGTAAGCCAATCAAGAAAGCTAAATGCTGCTTTTCATGTCATAGTCTAGACAGATATAAGTATAAAACAAAGTATTTGTGTTTGTCCACGTTTTCAAAGTTAGAAACATAGTGATAAGGTATTAATAAGACCGAAAGCAGAGTTGAACACGATAATACCAGTATTAAAGTGAAAAACTAAGTACATAAAGTAAACTTTAATAGCGATTAATGAAGTTAGTGTGTAACTCAATATAGGCTGCAGATGGACATGTCTAACACGTTTCAACTACTTCCGTTTGACAAGGTTCGTAACCGATTGACCATCTTTAAAACTCAATATCTAGCGTCAATATCACTCGGTGGATTAAGGTTATAGAAGCAAAGCTTCGAAATCACCCATAATCAAATCTTCATAGGCGGTTGCTAAGTTATCAAAAATGTCCATTCTTTTTAAAGGGATATTTATGAACTTATATTCTAGCCTTATTATTTATGTCGGCTGATTCAGTAGGATGAATCTACAATTAGATTTTGATTTGAAATTAAGCAACGTCTAAGTTTGTTCACCTGATTATTGATTCAATGTACTACTTATTGCAGAACAACCAACAAAATAGGTCTTTGCAATTTATTTTAAGTATTTGAGTGTTTGGAGCTGTATGTGGATGGGTTTTAACACCCTTTTCATGAAGATATACATACTAAGTTAGTGTCATGTTGAATACCATTCTTATTTGCATTAGTGTTTGTTAGGTGACACCTGAACTAAGGATAGGGAATGAAACAGTCGAACGCGTTGACAATTTCACTTATCTCGGAAGTCTGGTCAGCCCTAATGGGTTGGTGTCTGACGAAATCTCTGCACGGATTTGAAATGCTCGTCTGGCTTTTGCCAACTTACGTCACCTATGATGAAGGCGAGATATCCGTCTATCAATTAGAGGACCAGTATACTGCGCGGCAGTTCGTTTTGTTTTACTTTACGGCTGCGAAACGTGGCAATTAAGAGTGGAAGATACTCGTAAGCCATTAGTATTTGGCCACAGATGTCTTAGAAATATTGTTCGCATCTGCTGGGATCACTGGGTAAGTAATAGTGAGGTTAGACGCAGGGTATTAGGGAATGATGGTAAATCAGTTGATGAGGTTGTGAATCTTCGTCAAATCAAATGAGATTTGTGTGGCGCATATGTATCTGGTTCCCCCATGTACCAATATCTATGTGTTCAAATAAATGAATAAAAATCATCTTGTGCTAATGAGGTATGGCAACTTGAACCTATGCACATATGTGTCTGGTTCTACCTTTTAGCTGACTGACTGAGGTGACAAATTATTATGATTACTCTCTTAGATACTGGTTGTTGTGTTACAAGATACCAATATGAAGAACCCTCTGAATGACAGTTCTTCATGTAGTGGCTTGTTTTTATGGATCATCTATTTGGGATGTTAAAGTGAGGATCAGTAAGTAACGTGCAATGCTACTGTATAGCCCATTGACAGCTACTCACGAGACTGGATTATCAACCCAAACCCGGGAATAAGCTAATATCAAAAGAAAACACAGACGTTCAGCAGAATGAGTAAGCTAACGTGCTTATACATAAAATATTCAGTGAAAAATAAACATGAGTTTTCGTTTAATAAATAAGGAATGAAAATATGTTTCGCGGGTTTCCCAGTACCTAATGTTCTATAGACTTGGGCGTTAAGTCCGATTCTTACTCGTTATATCACTCTCTTCTGAAGTTTTATACGTAGGCTGCTTTCCTCCTCGTTGTTTGTTTACTAAAACCGATCGGTCGTTACTCTGTGAATAAATGACTTCTGGAAGCTTTCGGATATTCAAATTATCCGCTATTGTTTTTTGTAGATTGTCGTTTACTCTAAGGAATCACTCATCCAACAAATTATATGATAAAATACGAAACATACATCCATTTGTGTTCAGTGACTATTTTAATGTAATCATGTACACTTTGTGGTCAGCTTCTATCAGTAAAAACATAAATATATCCCTATTTCCCATACTTCTTTTATGCTTATTCCTCATATAACATCAAGTCGGTAATCTATTACCAAGTATTATTGTATGTGCTGTTACATTTCTAGGCTTCTTTATGGGCCAATGAATTTGATTTATCACTTCATCCTGATGGCGACTTTCAACAAATTGAATTCGACCAAATTTCGGACTTTATCAAGCGTGTTGAGAAGCAGTTAGTTGTAAATGATGGTGATGCTCTGGATCAATTCTGTAAAAACTTCTCAGATCATGTGAATTCAAGGAATCCTAATCATAAACTTCGTGTAGCTATTATACTTGATAATTCAGGTCCTGAACTAGCTGCAGATCTATGTCTTGCAGAGTATCTCCTTACAAGTCACATTGCTGACCATGTATCATTTCATGGTAAAAGCATTCCATGGTTTGTATCAGATGTCACTGGCAAAGATTTTAATTGGCTACTAAATATGAATATTTTGGAGTTGGAGGGTGCTAACAATGATCAATATGCCCATTTGGTTTCAAAGTGGTCTGAAGTCTGGCGAAAACGGATTCAAGATAGCAGTTTTCGCTTTGAAACTTCGTACTTTTGGACTACTCCCTGCACATATGACGAGATCGAAGTAGTCGACGCTTCACTTTACCAGGATTTATCAAGAAATTATGATTTAATAATATTCAAGGTAGTTATATTTGACAAAGGTGGTTAATATCTAACATTTTTCAAGTAATATATATTCATACATTAGAAGTAAGCAAAAATAAAGTACTTTGAACCGTGGGGATGAAGAGTTGTGACATATCTATCCTCACAGTTTTACCTACCCGCTCAATGTATGCAGTAGTTAATAAGGTGTCCTCTGACAGATCATATTTAATACAATGCTTAGCATGCATACTTTTTTCAGGTTGTAAGTGTATGATACTGTTTGTTCCCAACTACTATTCTTTTTTTATTAGTACTAGATAATGACGGAATTCTTAATATTGTTTCCATTTTGTTTTATTTTCTTCAAAGGGTGATCTTAATTACCGCAAGCTTTTAGGCGATCGTCAGTGGAAACCTGACAACCTAGACGATAAGATTAATGCCTTCCATCGAGTGCAGATTGGTAGATCACCAAGCTGTACGTGTTCAAAGAAGTTAGAAGATCCAAAACTCGGAGACCCAATCACCGATTGCTCATGTGGACCAATGGTTGTAGCTCTTCGAGTTGCGAAATCAGATGTAGGTGTGGGTGTGGATCATGATCGTCTTATCGAGCTGCAAAATGAAACAAAGGAATGGTGGACCATTGGCAAATATGGTTTCATTCAAATTATTTCTCCTATTGTTTTCAGTGCTTCATGAATCAATATATGACATGACTTTCTATATCATAGATCACCTATTTTCTGTCCCTATTGTACTCGCTCTTTTCGATACTTATTTATCATATGCGCTCGCTAGCATTTATTTTTAGGTTGACGTAAAGAAAAAATATAATATTAGTCCAAAATGTATATTTTTGACATGATTATTTTGGTTCTTTATTTTATCGATCTAGGTCGTTGCTGTAATATCCAGTTTCCCTATTTACTATATCAAATATCATTTTCGTAGTCTGAATCAGGAATTTACAATTGATACTGAATATGTAATGATCACTGCGATTAGTTCGTTATGTAATATAACTCTCAAGTCTCTGTATTTTAAACGTATATGCTATAGGCTCGTAGCCTTTAGATTGCAAGGTTTCAGTGATTTTTATAACTTGTAACCGCCGATTAGAGAGCAGTGACTTATCGCTCGGACCAATGACGCGTAAACCCGTATGAGCAGCCTAGAGTCCTGATTGGTCTCGCTTTCCGCCTAGCCTAGCCAGTTGAGTCCAGAACACCAATCTCAGCCTCTGAAACATGAATCACTATATTTCAAACGCACTGAGTTTATATACCAATCAAACAGACCACAACGTACCAATAAAATATGAAACAACATTTGTACAAGAATTAGCCAGATGTGGCTGTGAATGAGGGAGGTAGTAATTAATATACTGGGTATAACTCAAGAATGGCAGAACGTATAATAATAGTTTATGGGTCGAAATAAGGCCTATAACAAAAGGAATATGAATATGCATAGTTTAGATACTTAATAATTATACAATAAAAATATACGCTTAGTATTGGTCCACAAATGGATCACCAAAAGTTACCATTCATTATTCTTGTCGGGACATAACAGTGATAGCCTAAATCTTTGAAAAGTATGGGTTTAGAGGTAGTTTTTGGAGTACTAGTAGGTGAACTATGGGACCTGATCCATTATAAAACTTTGGCTACGTTCTAGTCACAAAGTGGTAGACGTAACCACCAATTATATGTGCTGCGTATTCATTCATTACATTAGCTATCCAACCAATCGCATCTCAGTCGAAACCAACCAGAAGGTAGTTTAATAAATCCATTAAGTGGTCATGTAATCGAATGAATGGTTGGTAATGAAGGGATGTTAAAATAACTAAGCGTTGCTTGGCCGCGACAAAACATACTCTAGTAGTCAGGCGTATTAAAGTGGACGATGGTCGTGGACACGTCGGTAAATTGAACTGAATATAAATGAGGCGAGTTATCATGTTTAACTAATTCGTCAGACATTGCAGATTTCCTCTACCGAATCTGAGGTAAGCATAGTAAGGAAATTCAAGGACCACTCTTATTCAGAATATCATCATCAGCCTCATCTAAATATCATGGACGTAGGACAAGTAAGTTATCAAGAATGTGGAATAAAGTGAATCTTTAGATATGAATTATATTTAATATAGGACAATATTACAGTACTCTTGATTCTGGTGACGAAATTTCGTTTTCAGTGAAACCGATGGGAATCTGTACATATTTCTTAGGAAAGAAATAGTCGCAGTAGTGATTTATGGTTTCCGAAATATTCGCTTTGGTTTTTTTTATTCACTCCAATAAAGTGTTGGGCGTATTCCACTAGTAATATTCCCGAACAACTTAGTAATTGGTTAATAGAAGCAACATGTTGATTGTTTTTGTCTGATCTACGATCGACCTAGCGTTACAGCCACGAGCATACAATGAAAACTGCAATTCGGTATGATTCTTTACATAGTCTAACAAATTGCTGAGCTTCAACGGTAATAGATCGAATAATCACAAAATATGTTCACTGTGGTTAACATAAATCAGCAATAACACTAGGTTTAGATGTTACATTGTGCTTTTTAGCGAATCCCTACATTATAGATTCTGTAAAGTAACACTTCAGTACAATGAGTATTTTTTTAGCGGAACAGGAAAAATAAACTTGGTAGAGTGAAATATATTCATTTTATTTTGTCTCCTCCATAATGTGGTTGCTAAGGCAGCGACTCATCCGCATAAGAACTAGCACAACCGGGCTCTCGAGGTCGTATATGCCATACAATATCGTATTATTTGTGTGAGGGCTGCGGCACATCCTAGGTGCCTAGAGCAAGGAAGGTGGTTTCTTGGGGGCCCACTCCCTAGCTTTCGACATAGAGACGACGCCAGATGATACTTTCCTATGGTAGTGGGTGACCTTAAGTAGGTTCATGCGCTGTTCCTCCCCTCGGGATCCTCTAGCCCATGTGTACTATCGGTTTGGAATCAAGCTTTTCCAGTTGCTTTAGTTGAACCATCCGTATCCACTAACCCCTCTCAAATTCCGAAGTTTCGCTTTTGATCCTTTGACATTCATAAACAATACACTGCGTGAGGGCAGTGAGTAGGACTTCTGTGGCAGAGACTATAAACTCGTAACTGTACAAAAGCATTTCAAATAAGAGGCCCAGTCCCATCTATCTTCGACCATACCAGGACATTTGAGGGGGGGGGGTAAATAAACGACTGGACTAAACGACCAAATTAATTGCAATTCGACTGATCGAAAATACATGAAACGTGGAATCCTTCAAAAGTAAATAAAACCATTTCTAATTTATACATTGTCAGATTATAGTCTGAAGAATTAGAAGAAAGATTTAACCAAAAGGACTAATTGTATTAGTAATGTGCATGTCAATGACGAGTTTATAGAAGTTAATGAAGAGGGAATGAAGCTTCATGTAGATGAAGTAATTTAAAATTATTGGGTTGTCAAAAATACTTTTAACAAGAACCAATATTGCTATTATTCAAGCTTAGATATAGTCTCTTCATAGACACTAAGAGATGCCTGAAACAAACTCGTATAAAAATGCTATTGCGAAACTAAGAAAGACAACGAAATAAAGAAATAATTCCATCTAGTGAACTACGTTTTTCATTTATTTCTGTTGTACTGTAATAGAACAAAACTCCTCCCGAATCACTGATTTATTTAGAAATCAAATATTCTATCACAGTGCTAACAGTTGAACCAATATTGTATATTCAGAGAAGGGTGTCTCTTTAGTACCATTCATTGTTTTAACTGTAACAGTTTGAATTTCATTCTCAACTCTCATGGTATCATATTGTTCAGATAATCCATTAGCAGTCATTGTGTTGCACATCTTTGGACGTAATTATCAGACTGCTAAATTCACTTTGGTGTAAATTCACTTTGGTGTAAATTCACTTTGTCCATAATCACAAGTGAAGACGATGGACTAAAATTAGTAATAACAGTTAATCAGATATAAAATATGATATGAGTTTTAGGAAATCAATCAATTACTGACTTAACAGACTGTTTTTCTCAAACAACAATCATTTAAAGAAAACTATTCGCTAAGTTATTTAGTTGATTATTAAGGCTGTTTAAATTCACTGAAGTAGTTCTTCTCACTGTTTGATTTCAGCTACAAAGTAATTAGAAACCAAGGAAAATTGTATGCATGTCACTTCTCAATACATATGTTACTCAATTTTCAAAATTATTTTTAATCAATATTGTTTCATTGTACAATGAAATACTGAAATGAGTAATTTATTAATTAGTATACTACATCATATTTGTAATTCATTTCACATCATACACTGATTGAACATGATTCTTTATTCATCATTTTGCAAACATAATTTACTGAAGAAAAATAAGTTTGGATCTGTTCATTAATTCTGTTGTATACTTCAATCTTGAAATTCAAAGAGAAGACAATAATTACAGTTATTCGATCTGTAAGCTTTTGTTAAATGAGCCATTGTTTAAAGTAGTGATAAACTATTTCTTATTTATAGGTCAACCGAATCATACTGGTAGTTAGGAAATAAGAATAACGAAGCCTATATTTCCTGTGTTTTATTCCATATGAAAGTAGGAGAAGTGTGCTCTTGAGATATCTTAAACTACAAATAAATAGCCATTCATAGATCTTTATTTAGTTTAATGTATTTCTAGATAAATAAGCAAGCCCTAACTTGGAATCTTGAAGGGAAGCAGAAAAGAGGAAGGCCAAAGAACAGATTATGCCAGGAAATAGAAACAGATATGAAAAGGATGAATAACAACTGAGAGGAGCTGGAAAGGATTGTCTAGGACAGGGTTGGATGGAGAACGCTGGTGAGCGGCCTATGCTCCTTCACGAGGAGTAACAGGCGTAAGTAAGTGATTTCTGGATAAATGAAATAATAAAGCTTAATTTTTTAAATGAAAAACGTCTAGATATGTTAGCCGTGATTAAACTGATTTGCGAAGCACTCAGAAAATAGCTAAGATTCAAAATCGGTTACATTTTAGATGTAAAAATATTTATTATTGTCCTAAAGAATTTTCTTCAGGGTAATATATTTAATTTATCTCTTCTGTGATATTTTTTTATATCAGAGTACTTACAAGAGAAGTAGTTTCATAGTTATCCAATGTTTGTACTAAATGATAATTGTTGTATACATTTAAAAAATTCTTAGTTTTAATTACTATACAGTACTTTCATATCTGTCACTGTTTTATTTCTTACTAGTGTAATGGTCCATTCATATATACTAGAGTACGTTTTGAACTAATCTGAGAGTCGCTAGTGTGTACATTGAATTCAATATTACTACTCAACACAAGTAGCCAATATAGTATAGTGATTTGCTAAAAGGTTTTGAAATTACATTATGGTCAGCTAAACATTATTTCAACTATTGTGAGATAACAAATATCCAGAGTACAATTCAAAGCAATATATTGTCCTATTACATGTGTTACTCTAATCTACACAATGACGATTTTTATATTTTAAGTACCAGAGTATCGTAATTCACTTGATAGTTACTAGTGTTATACGTTTATAAAGACTGATGGACTTTTTTATAGTATACATTACAAACTGACCTTAATTAGACATATAAGGTCAGTTCGTGGTGTAAACTATAAAAATATTCGATAATAATGATAAAAATAATAGAAAAATTTGGCATAATTCAATTAAAATTGTATTTCACTAAATTTATCAACAATCATATGTTCAAGGGATTCTTGGTAATTTGTGATAAATTAACGACAATATCATGTGTAAATCACCTTGACAACATAAAATAATAGCGATACAGATGTATTTTCACTAAGCTAAAACAATTCTTTCTTAGCTAGTGATTGTAAGAAATATTGCAATGTTTATTTTAAATTATGCGAAGTGATCAATAAATAGTGATAAGTAAATCAAGTTATCTAACTTGAAAGTACCATGATTCTTATGTCAAGGTTAAAGATGGAATGTATTCTTTTCATCTACTATTCCACCTCCAAGATGCATAATTTATTTGGAACTAGTCACTGAACTTATTATACGTAACATAACAGAAATATTGATTTTATAGGTATCGTTATCAAAGTTTGACTTGATAATTGAGCATTGGGTAAATTGTTATAAATAAAGTAATTAATTAATATATTTGTGATATCCCAATGAGTAGAAAAATTAGATTTTCTGACTCAGTGACTCAGTGTAAGCCACTTTTTTTATTCTCTGAAAAAGTGGCTTACATTAAGTCACGAAACGTCAAAAAATCTAATTTTTCTACTCATTGGGATATTACAAATATATATATTTATTTATTTAGAAATATTAATATTTTAAAACATACATTTTCATGGCTTGAATTTGAACTATATCTGACTTCTTTATGTTAATGCTATCACTCACTTACTTACGCCTGTTACTCCGAATGGAGCATAAGGCCACCGACCAGCATTCTCCAACCCACTCTGTTCTGGGCCTTCTTTTCTAGTTTCACCCAGTTCTTGTTCATTTTTCTCATGTCAATCCCCATTTCCCGGCGTAATGTGTTCTTTGGTGTTCCTCTTTTCCTTTGGCCTTGAGGAATGCTATCAAGTTTATCTTAAATCTTATGTTTTCTTGTCTTTAAATAAAGCAGACAATGTGAACATCTGTCTGACAAATCAAAGCAGTTGAGGCCCAAGTATGTTTCCTACTTCAACATTCATATATTGTACTAATTGTAAAAAAAGAATAATGTTTATTAGGAATTCCTAAAACGTGCATAACATATTTAATATACAAAAATGTAATCGTGTCAACAATTAAAATGTTACATGTTTGATTGATAATCTACCATTGATCGGAAAATCAACTTCTGGATTATCATTATTAACTCTTTAAATGTTTGCCATTATTATAAATATAATTGGTTAATACATTAAAACAAATGCTCTTGATTAAATTTTTATGTCTGGATTCATTCATTTGTTCATCATTTAATTCTCTATTAAAATGAATATATATATATATATATATTAACTATTCCTAATAAGCCAAGATTTTCATACTATGGATAGTATTGATAAAACAACAAACGACATCCATATATCTAGAAAATTGTTTTAAGTATGTAATCATTGTCTAATATTTTTGTGTTTTTTTTGTTTTGACAACTGTGATTAACTTCCTCATGAATAGACTAATGTTTTACTAAAATCTATTTTATTCAAATCATATCAATTTTAAAAAAATTAATATTTAAACAAAGTAACTAATTCCTATTTCAAATTGATTCTTGAACAATATCAACAACAAACCATGTAAGTTTGTTTTGATAACGCGTTATGATAATAATAATAATAATGTTTGATGTTCATTTGCTTATAATTACAAAGTCGTTTATTAACAGGTAATATATTTGTTCGCTGCATCGATGCATACTGGTCCTCTGAAAATGCATTGAATGTTCTAGCACCTGTAAGTGTATCTCATTCCACAAGTGATATTATAGGAACTTTAAATGTTTAGCCATTTTTATTAGTGCATTCTCTAAGTAAAACCACTTACTTGCTGTCACTTTATGTTAACACCGTCTCTAGCAAGTTTAACTAATTTGAATAATATCTAACATCAACAGTATATCACTGTGTTCACATGACACACGCATTTTAGTAGACCTGATTGACATAATTTGGTAATTACTGCTTTGTTGTTCCGTGCTCTCTGTTTTCATTTTACTTTCTCTAGATGTCGATAATTATAATTTATTCGATCTGGCACACGAAATGACCGTAATTACTCCGTTCATAAATCAACAGGCTGTCCATTTAGGAAATATTAAAAATTCCCGGCTGATGCATCGGATCACTGTAATACATGTACTACCTAAACAATTACTGAACTAGTATACTTAAAAGTATCTTATATCACATCTTTATTCTCTACATCTAATGTTACTATTTATATCAAATTGATCATGCCTGTAAACTGGCATGAATTCCGTAATTATTATTTTCAGGATATATAAATTATTATTATTATATATGAGAATGATATGGTCAAATCATTTTTCACCCTTCTTATATGTTAATTAGTTTATCATCAATGTCAAGACAAACATTCAATGAATTTTTAGCTGGTGCTATTGGAGGTAAGTATATTCAATAGATGAATATTATTGATAATTTTATTCTGAAATGGTGTAATTTAACAGAAATATTTTGATTTCGTAATGTATTTGATTGTAACATTTTTGTTTTCAAAATTTATTTAAACGGTATCCATGTCATATAGTTTCACAGTTACCATTAAAATGAAAACTGTGTTAGAATAAAATGAATTGTTCAGTTAATCATAAGAGATCTTCGATCCAATGTGGTTATGAATCAATTTTTTCACCATTAAATTGTAAATCATAACCATATTTAATCAGTTTTGATTTGTTTAGTCGGACAGTATTTTTGTATTAACTTATGTAATAAGTTTACTTATTGTCTATGTATTTGAATATGTTTACTGATTTTCTTAATGAAAATATAACAAATATAAAAATTACTCGTTAAGACATTTGATAAAATGTAATAAGTAATAGTTACACAATGATTTATTTCAATCAAATATGAATTAGGATTAAAAAAAAGATCAAATGAATTATTTCTCAGTGATTATTCATTACATCATTAGATATGGTTAACTTTAATCAGATAAATTGAAATTCTGAAAAGAGCAAAAACAAACATTTCAGCAGAATAGCATGAATTCATTTCTTTATTTCGTTGGTTCTCGTCAACTGCTTACACAACCTGTGATATTTAAAATCATAATTACATGATGTGTTGAAATTACTTACATAAAAGAGATTGATTGGGAGTTATATTGAAGACATATTCATATAGTATAGCAAGGTTTGTAAATAAATGTAATAGACTGAATATTGTAAATATATACCTTATGCGAAAGAACGTTCTACAACATTGATTGCGGCAAAGGTTCAAACGACCAGAAACAAGTGATCACATAAGGTGTAAACACTGATAAGAATAAAATGAGTAGAATTCAGTTGATAAAATAAGACTAATAATTTTGTAGTTGGAATAAAACTCAATAATGTGATAAAAGTGCAGGGCCTTGGTGACTAATATTCCTTCGCCGTATCTTAATATTTTTTCTTTTTCTTTAAACACTTTCTTGCACTTATCACATCATTGCGTTTTATTCCAATTATCTTCGAAATTATTAATCTTATTTTATCAACTGAATTCTACTCATTTTATTCCTATCAATGTTTACTTATTTCTAGCCGTTTGAACTGTTCACACAATATTCTTTTACATAAGGTATATATTTACAATATTCAGTCGATTACATTTATTTACACCCTTGCTATACTATATGAATATGTCTTCAATATAACTTTTAATCAATCTCTTTCATGTAAGTGATTTAAACCCAATATGTAATTATGATTTTAAATATCACAGGTTGTGTAAGCAGTTGACGAGAACCAACGAAATAAAGAAATGAATTCATGCTATTGTGCTGAAATGTTTGTTTTTGCTCTTTTCAAAATAATAAAGGGAACTATGTGTATGAAATTGAAATTCCTTGACTATTTCAATATCATAGAACCACAAATTTTATATGATAATCACTATAGATGATATTAAAATGTAATGTTCATTTCAAAATGATTTATTATTCATATATATAATACCATCTCATATATAAATATTCTGTTTATACAGACTGTTTATATAAATTTATTTAAAAGTTTTGATTAGTTACATGAAATAATCAATCAATAATTCAATATACGATTGATAATTTTCATGTAACTTAGAAATTGATTCTATTTAAAACTCGATAACCATCAAAAATCAATAGAAATGAAAAACGTTTATTATTAAATTTTCAATTACTCAGTGAAACTCTTCATTAAATTGTTTTGTTTTTTGAAAAAAAGCATAAAAAAGATAAAAATGTATTCGATAATCCCATGGATCTATGCTAATAATAATAATAATAATAATTTGTCTAATGATTCACATTTTTTTAAACACATGATCATATTATTTGTCAGTGATTATGTCGTGACCTTAAGCCTGGCTAGTTGTCACGTGACTTATCGAAATATGACTCATTCAGTTTTAGTATTGTGCTAAACCATCGACGTTCGACCCGGTATGAGCAGCCTAGAGTCCTTTGTTCGCCTAACCTATCCAGTTGAGTCCAGAACGCCAATAACAGCTTCTACTATGCGAATCATTTATTTCAAACATACTTGAATTATATATAAGCCAAACAGATCACATCACACCATAAAATAGGAAATAACATTTATACAAGATCAAGTCAAGAAGTGCTGTGAATGTGGGAGACTTTAATCAATAAACCGAACATAAAAAAAGACAAACAGTAAACCGTATAATAATAATAATCTATAGGTCAAAATGAAGCTTATAATAGGAGGAATAGAGATGTACATAATCTAGGAATATACATATAATATTAGTCCATTAATAGTTCTCAGAAGTTATCCGTAATTTAATCTTCACTAGGATAAAACACATTAGTTATTGTAATTACTACTGATCATGAACACAATTTGATTACAAATTCAAAAGTAATTTGTTAATTTTAGTTTTCTTTCTAGTAAATAAACGTATTCTCTATTAAGAAATGGTAATATGGCTGATGAATTCTCTGTATTATCTTGCTATTCATTCAGTATTCAACAATCCACAGTATAATCATAAAAATTAGTTCATTGATCTAACCAATGACCATCAGTTAAAATATGAAAAATAAACAAATAAAATTCTTAAACTCATTAGTAGTATCATCTGTGATTTTTGATTAGGATAAATGTAGTGACTGATTAATTACATGCACTACATATTTCGTTGATTAGTTGAAGTTAGACATTAACACCGTTGGATACCGGCTCAGTGGTCTAGAGGTTAAGCGTTCGGGTGAGAGATTGACAGGTCCCGGGTTCGAATCTCGAGAGGCGTGGTCGTGGATGTGCACTGCTGAGGAGTCCAACAATAGAACGAAGTGGCCGTCCAGTGCTTCCAGGTTTTCCATGGTGGTCTACCTTAAATGGACTCATGATTTCAATCTGTGAAATTCTAAAATCTCCCTTCTGACAAATTATGGTCTTTAAGAAGAAAAATTATATTATATATAAAGACAAATTATTTAACACCACTTATGAGCAACTATTTACTGATTAAAATTAGGCAGGTCTATTTTATTAGCGAAAAAATTCAGATAATGTAGTTGTTATACTCCAGCGAAGATTAAATTACGGGTAACTTCCTAGGACTATTAATGGACTAATATTCTATAAATATTCTTATTGTATAACTATTCAACAGTTAGATTATGTATATTTATATTCCCTTTATTATAAGCTTTATTTTGACCTATAATTTATTATTGTACGAATTACGGTTGTTAAGCTATGTTTAGTTTATTAACTACTGCCTCTCACATTCACAGCCACTTTTTGAGTTTATTATGTACACATGTTATTTTCTATTTTATGGTACGTTGTGGTCTGTCTGATTGATATATAAACCAAGTATGTCTGAAATAAAGGATTCGATTCGATTCATATTACAGAAGCTGGTATTGTGCTCTGAACTCAAGCGGACGGGCTAAGAGGACATAGGACCAATAAGGATGCTAGGCTGCTTATACCGCTCGAACGTCATTGGTTTGGCATAGTGCTAAGATTGTATAAGTCGTATTTTGATTGGTGGACAAATCACGTGATAAAAAGCCGGACATAATATATTTATTTTATTTATTTATTTGAACACATAAATATTGGTACAAGAGCGCGCCAATATATATGCGCCACACAAAACAATGAGAATTCGAAGAGAAGTAGAAAGAAAGAAAAAAAACTAAGGAACGCAAAAGAAAAAGAGAACAATGGCGAAAAATTGGAGTAAGGTAGTGTGGTAGTAACGACGGAACGAAAAGGTACAATCAGAAGAAATCTTTCAGGTAAAGGAGACACAACCACTTTTTATGAAGAAAGTAAAAGAAGGTTACAGCAGGATCGCCACTGGCTTCTATTCTGAGCCATATCTGATAACGTCTCTAGCCACTGTGTAGCACAATCTCTCGGACCCCAGCCAGGGAGTCGTGAAGGACCAACACAAGCCAGTCCTTTGCAGCTTTCTTTCATGCCACGACACCATGTCATGCACTGACCACCTCTCCGCTTCTTCCAACCAGTCCCAGAGTCGGCAAATAATGCACGACGTGGAATTCTCTGGGACGACATTCGGAGAACATGTCCAAGCCACCGAAGTCGGTGTTTCAAGATGGTGACACCAATTGAATTATCATCTCTGTGCCCGAACACACGATGCCGAACCTCTGCATTACTGACATGGTGTTGCCACTGAATGTCAGCAATCCTTCGGAGACAGCGATGATCGAACACAGAGAGTCGTCTAACGTCCTCAACTCGGAGAGACCAGGTTTCACAAGCATAGAGCAAAACTGCTCTCACCGACGCGTTGTAGATCCGACCTTTTACAGTCGGACTAACATTACGAAGGCGCCAAAGGTGGCCCAGATTGGCATAAGCCACTCTGGCTTTCACTATACGTGCATTGATCTCATCACTCACACCCCCACCAGCACTCATACAGCTACCCAGATACACGATCTTCTCGACTACTTCTATCTGCTCACCATCCAGGGTGAGTACAGGATTGGAATCCTGCCAGTCTTGTAGAAGTACTTTGCACTTCGAAGGTGCAAAGCACATACCATACTTACGGACACTGATTGCCAACTGATTAAGTGCGGATTGCATGCCTTGGGTATTATCGCACAGTAAGACAATATCGTCCGCATACTCAAGGTCGAGAAGTCTTTCTCCAGGCAACGGATCCACACCGCCATTACTTACATTCATCAGAGCTGTTTCCAGAATGTCATCGATGGCAAAGTTGAAGAGGAATGGTGAGATTGGACAACCCTGCCTAACCCCACTACTCGAATGGAACAATGGAGAAAGGTGGTTGTATGCCCTCAGTCTGCCTGAGGTGTTTGTATATAAGGCCTTTAAGATTTTAATAAACTTTTCAGGCACACCCTTCTTCAATAGACAATCCCAGATAACAGTCTTGTCCATTGAATCGAAGGCAGCCCTTGTGTCAAGAAACACTACGATTGTTGGCCTGCGATAAGTATGGCGGTGTTCTAACATTTGGCGGAGGGTGAAGATATGATCAATACATCCTCGACCAGAACGAAAACGAGCCTGCTCCTCGCGAGTCAATCATTCTCGGGTTTTGAACAACCTGCGAAGTATGACGGAAGCCAATAGCTTGGACGCAATCGGAAGTAGACTTATCCCCCGATAGTTGTTACAGGAACGACGTAAACCCTTTTTAAAGATAGGGACAACTATCGACTCATTCCATGACGTTGGTACACTCTCTAGTTCCCAAACCTTTGTAAACAACGTCGTCAATTCCTTAGTCAAAAAGTCACCACCATCTTTAAAAAGAGCCGGAGGTAAGTCATCTGGGCCAGGTGATTTGTAACGCTTCAAAAGTTGGAGTTCCTTGCGGACTTCCTCCTCATTTGGTGGATCAGTCGTCACCGGCCATGGAGGACAGGACAGTCTGACCGATGTTGCCGGAGCAGCAGGCCAGTTGAACTGCCCTTCGAAAAATTCTGCCCATCGTCCAAGACGTCGATGGATGTTAGTGATTGGCATCCCATCATCCTCGCAGATTGTTTCACTCACACCAGACTTCTTGCTGCCAGTGGCTCGGATGAGCTGGAAGAGCTTCCGGTAGTTACCAGATGCACCTGCTGCTTCCAGCTCATTAGCACACATCGACCACTAGGCTTCTCGGTCCTTACGCAAGCTTTGCCCAATTTTCTTACGTAACATCCTTCGTTTATGGTCAAACTCACGGTCACCCGGAGTAGACCGATGGGCTTCAATGAGTTGTAAGGAACCAGAAGAAACCCAGTGCTTAAAAGCGGGACGTTTCGCAAACCCACAACTGACTGTTCCCGCCATTTTCATGGCGTCATGCAATTGCAACTAATGCTCATCTATACTTTTCGGTGGAGTGGTAGCTAGCCTAGAGGCTAGCTCGGTTCGATACTTACTTGCAACAGAAGTTGCAACCAGCTTGCTAACATCAATCCGTTGATGGCGTTCACTTCGTTGTCCACTGAAAAGTAAGGCAAGATTGGCGCAGACCAAGGCATGGTCAGAGTCCAGATAGGTACTCCAAAAGGAGCGGCAGTCTTGTACACAACCACGCCAGTGGTAGCTGATCGCGATGTGATCAATCTGAGTCCAGGCTTGAGATGCAGAGGGAGGACGCCAGGTGGCACATCGGCGATGACTGTGCCGAAAGTTGGTGCTAGCCAGAAACAGGTTGTGGTCTGTGCAAAGTTGCAGTAGACGGTCCCCGTTATCTGACCTGCGACCAACAAGTCCTCATCGGCCACCTAAACGACTCTTTTCTGTGCCTAAACGCCCGACCTGAGCATTCAAGTCTCCGGCTAGTACTACAATATCTGTCGAACGCACTTTCTGGAGAAGAACTGATAACTGGTGGTAAAACTCATCCTTGATTGCATCCGGGCTGCAATCTGTCGGGGCATAGGCGGAGATGACGAAAAGACATCGTTTCTCACGCCGATTTCTTCTCACTTTGATGGAACTCTCTAATCTACCAGCACATAACCGACTGTTAATGGGGATCCAATCGATTAGTGCTGCCTCAGCTCTAGCGCTCAGTGCGACACCAATGTAACACTGATTCTCATTAATTAATTAATTAATTAATTATTTATTTAATTGAATATTGTCAATCTTTTCTGTATGTAATTTGCCTTTATGAAAAATAATTCTTTAGTTCAAATTAAATGTAAAGTATGTTTTTCACAATGGTTAATTAGTAAATGCTTTGCGTAAAAACACAAACTTAATTTATTTCAAATAATAAAACAATTTATTCTATGATCTCATGGGTATATTAAAAATTGAATTATTTCTATAGGGTGTAAACAACAGTCATAGCTGAATAATGTAAATTTATCTATTTCATAAATTCTTTACAACGTAGAATGGATAATAAAAATTATCCAAGAAGGCGATACTTGATATTGTATTTACAGAAATACCTGGATCAAAGTTATAGATAACATTGGATTAGTTTGACAAAAAGTGTAAACAATCTAGAAGAAATTTTAAGTATAATCTATAAAGTTGACTATTCACAGATAAAATAGATGAAGAGATTAAGATAGGAAACTGTAATATATATATAATATGACAAACGATGTCATAGTAGTACGGAACATCATCCGTCGTGGTTAAACAAAGGACAGGTAAAAGTGATTAAAAGTTCTATTCTCTCTCACTCGGTTGACACAAGTCATCAGGTTGAATTGAATAAAGCTTTTAAGGTTATCTACAATATCCAATCAAATTTGCTACACGGTTTACAGGTGCGCCTTTTGCACATTGCGGAAGCCATCGCAATCCATGTTCACAAACCTAACTTTTGCATTCAAAAGAGATTTATACAACCACTTTCGCTGCCTTGGCCATCGATGTAAGATTTCCTTCAACATAACTATTTTTCATATTTCTTCCACTTGGTTTTTTTCTTTAAAAATTTTTGTTTTTGTGATTTTTGAACTTTATAACTCCTCAATATTCATCTCTTGATTCTTAGGTAACTACTATTCTATTGACCATCCATTATAAAATTCTGTTCCTTCTCTTTTTCATATATTACGCAACGTAGCAACTTCTTGATTTAATAATTACTTTGAATATTAATAATCCTCTTTCTTCCAAATACTCAATGCTAATTTAAATGTCATTATGTAATTTCGATAATGATATTAGAAGACGAAGATTATCAGAACTATGTGATATATTAGCGCAATACATTTCGAACAATCTGGTCACACATATACTTGTTAAGAGCATTTATATATCTAAAATAAAAGGTCAACTAGACTGGAAACGGGGTAAGAGGAGATAAGGATAATAATAAGAGTAATAATAATAATAATGTGGACACAAAGCGAAACCTAATCACTCTGGATAATAAGTCAATATTACCAGGGTAGGTTTAAGGTTAGAACAAACTGTTTTTGAACACACAAAGGGGGTTTGAATTCTCGTATAACTGAGGCTTCAATAAACCTTAGTATACGCCCTTTTACACTTTTATACAATACCACAAAAGATGAGTTTAGATCAATCTTGTGACCTGTTTCAATTATATGTTTAGCAATAGAGGATGATGGATGTTTATCCTCTGCTCTTATTGGGTCACCTGATCGCATTTGTTTCTGCAGCCATTTAGGTACATGTTCACACCCTAATGTTGAGATCACGATTGCTCCTTCCTATGTATGTGTAACCACACACACATTTAGATTGGTAAAGACAGTGGGATGTGACACAATCGTCTCCATGTGCTTTAGGTTTTGAATGAAGCATGCACCTTGTTCTTTCTTTGATGATGACCTTTGCTGCGCAATAGGTTTTATTGATTACTTGTTCTGATAATCTTCGTCCTCTAATATCATTATCGAGATTTATCAAAGGGACTAATTGTTTTAAATTTCTTAAAAGAGGACTCCCTGCACATTATGTAATTATTACGTAACGTATCCACTCGATTAGTATTATACCATTATTGTAAAACATATATATATATATATATATATATATATATATATATATATTAGTGTAGAGCCATGATGAACAACTAATTAAAAAGAAATTTCTTCGCTCAATTCGTTCCTTCTTTATTTACCAAATGGCAAAGTGGAAATTTTCACTACATAATAATGTTTTTCAATATCTCTCATTGGTATTAGAATGAGGATAGAGTAAAACTATGTGTAATTTCACAAGGAATTTACATTTAATCACAAAAAAAGTGTAATAGAAATGTATAATGTTTCTTTTTTATTTCTCAAAAAGGATTAGCTGGCTTAACGGTTGGCCATCCAATGGATACTGTCAAAGTTGTTATGCAAAGTTCGTCGAGAAATTTAACATTTAAAGAAGCGACTGGTTCGATTCTTGAAACTGGACTAGTAAGTTTGAAAATGAGTTTAACGAGCAGTCTTTTAAAAAAAATCATTACTACGTAAGAATTTAGTGTTTCATGACTGAATCGAAAGATTGTGTATTTGATGGTGAATAAACGATCTCTTGATTATTGATCATATGTTTGACAACTAAATACGATGGTATAATTTAATGATAATAATTAACTATTGATGGCTGTTTATATCAGTTGATCAGTTCAAAGTTATCTAATTTTGATGAGTTTGCTTTAAGGTCAGTATTAATTAGTTGTTTGTTAATGTAGTAACAAGCAAACAATTGTATTTTAGTAGTTGAGTTCGTGAGTCCATTGAAGTTAGAACACCATGGAATTGTATGTATTACTTTCATTTAACTAAAGTGATGCTGAATGTATAAAATGCCTAATTTCTTTTAAGTAGTGGACAATCTAACAAGTTGTGAAGTAGTTTTCTTATTTTTTACAATGTTCTAATATGATAGAGAATAATACACGAACTTTAATCAGCTAAATAAATATCTTCATGTATCGAAATTTAGTCTAGTCAATACAACATTTAAAGGGATTAATTATTTTAAATTGTATATACCGTCTTTTTCTATTATTTTTTTTAACATTAGAGACGATTTTTTACTGGGCTTGCAATTCCGTTTTATTCATATGGATTTATCAATGCCGTAGTATTTACTGCATACAAAGAGTCACTAAGTATATTTGATGCAACTGGTCAGTCCCCATTTGCAAATGCTATGGCCGGTGCTATATCAGGAGCTGTACAATTGATACCAGCTGTTCCAGTTGAAGTTATTAAAATACGACAACAATCCATAGCAAGTCATCCAGGTAGATTGATGTATTTATACTAATGCTTTATATTCAAAAATATATATTTAAAATTTTCACGTCATTTTTAATTATCAAACATAGTTATTTCGTATGTGTGCCTGGTCCTACGTTGTAGCTGACTGACTGACTGTTATTTCGTAGCATAGTAGGTTGTGAATAGTTTGAAGTTTTATATCACTGATTGATCTTAGTCAGATAACCACTGAAAATGAAGAGGCTCTGGTTTGATGTCTTATCCTGGTACGATAGTCCTCTGTAATGAACATCCATAACCCCACCAGGGATTAAAGTAAGACCTCAACGTCTTCTGGTCTGCTCTTAACCTTTTTATATTTGAAAAAGAACAAATACTTGTAGTGTATTGGGATTCGTTTGATGTGGCTGTTATTGTGGGAGCAGTGATATTGTCTGGTTGGATTACTGAATAATTCGCTAGATATCTTTAGAACAGATGACCTGATTTACCAATGACCCAGTGACCGATGAACAATGACCGAGATCTTAGTACCTATTGTTCCTTGATCCACTTCCAACCCAGTGTCAAAGTAGAGGACAAGTCAGCAAGCATTTCTACAGTCCCAACTAATACAATAATATGGAATAAATTCCTGATAGCACAACAAAATAAATATATAATTGTGTGCATAAATACACTATGAATGAGAATGAACTAAGTAATTGTTCAGTAATTAGTTAATAATAACTTTGTACATATTGTGTTTGTTTATTTGCTTAACAGGTGAAAAACAACTGACTGCTAGAAAATGTATCCATACCATTTTACGTATGCAAGGATTTAGTGGATTTTACTCAGGAACAATTATTCAAGCATTTCGTGATATTCCAGGACTGACTGCTTATTTTTATGCTTATTCTGAATCAATAAAAATAGGAAAACATATTGGTTTGTCAACATTTTGGTCTGCTTTTATTGGTGGTGCGATAAGTGGAGCATTATCTTGGTGTGTTTCAATGCCATTTGTAAGTTAATGAAAATGATTACGTATCTATAAGGAATTTTAATTTCCCATTGTTGATATTAGGAATGGTAATTAATCATTTCCTATTGGTATACGTTTATCTTGAGTGGATCGTTTAGATATCGCTATTTTCCCGTAAGTTTTGGTAAAATTGTATTATCCTCAACAGTGGTATTCAGGATATGAGTTTCGTTCTATTTAAGACTGCAGATATTAAATTCCTCTATATCTGACTCCAATAAATAGTATCCCGTTAACTGAGTATTTAACGCATACTAAATGTCCTAGTAGTATTGTGGTGTGTGCTACTTATATTGACATAAGTAGTAGATGATGTTAGTCGTTAACAGAATGTCTGGCAGCAGAGAGACAAGAGGATCGAACAGTAAAGAATGGAAACAGAATGCAACTTGTGTGAAAATGCAAGAACAATGAAGTCTGAGTCATTATGAGACAACTGATGGGCACTTTGCAAATTACGTATTTACTATTTGATTGTTAGATTTCAATAACAGTCGATTGTCCCAACCCATGCTCTGTTCACTACAGTATTATGGATTTACTCGAAATTATGCAAAAGCTTGAACACCAGTTGCAGAGATAGTTCATTGTTAAAGATCAGTGAAATCCGCAAGCGTGCAGAAAACAAGCACAAAGAGAAACGAGTAAATGATAAAAATCCCTGTAGATACTTATAAGTGTTAATTGACTGTGGATAAATTATCGATTGTCTGTGTGTTACAACCAATGAGAGAATAGATTAAAGATTGATGTGCAGACATGCGATCAATCAGACCCACACATAAATTTATATAGTGGATTAAATGCCTAAATAACAATGAGTAGACAAATAATACATTATCAGGAGGGTATTTTTGTGGATATTATAGAAATTTTAATAGTTGAGATCACGAGTCAGTTGAAGCTAGACCACCATTGAAAACCTGGAAGCACTAGACGGTCATTTCGTTCCATTGTTGGACTCCTCAGCAGTGCGCATCCATGACCACGCCACGCGAGATTCGAACCCAGGATCTATCAATCTCTCACCCGAACGCTTAACCTCTAGACCACTGAGCCGGTATCCAACGGTGTTAATGTCTAACTTCAACTAATCCACAAAATTGAGCGACACATCCGCGATTGTCTTCAGTGAGTTACTACCTCACAACAGATTCGATTGAACTCCACTGGTCACTGTTTCTCACTAGAACTACAGGAAATACCATTTGAAGCCAGTCGCTAGTGAGCAATAAAAATAGCTAAATGGGCTTACTACATGACTCGTTACTAGTTTGTACTTGTATTCCGGTCTTGATATTCACACTGTACCTATTATTTCAACCCCCTTTAGTTATATATTAAGCCACTTAATCCATATAGCTACTAGTTTGTTCAATAGTTATGGGGTTATCTATGTACGGATCTTAAATAGAATGAAACGTACGTTTCCTATCTCACTACTAGCCACAATCCAATTTCACTAAGGATGAATACGTATGTATTTTTTTTTGGAAGAAAACGAAATGAAATTTATATAAAATAAATCTGTGGTCGATAAATATTTTTAGACTGAATAAAGAATAAACGTATCAATGAAACTAAATCTAGTAAAATAATTGGAACATGGAATATATGTTTTTTTACTACTTCCGGTTACATAAAAAATGTACATCATTGTTGTTTTACCCGATTAGAAAATTTAAAATAGTTTATATTAAAGTAATATAAAAAATTAAAAAAAAAACAACACATTATTGAATATAAATTCACTTGGTATTATTTGGCTTGTATCTTCCCATTGAGGTTTAAGATTGCAATTGATCAGTGTGTTATTGACATATGTGCATAATGTGAGTATTGCCTCGATATTGCTTTAATTCACAAGCTTTTTGTAGCACAATGATGGATAGTGGCTAGCAGTGGAATCCAGGACGCGCGTTTCGTCCTATTATTGAATATAATTTGAAAATTATTTATTGATAATTGAATTGATTTGATAGGTGAAATGTTTAAAATAAAATTTATGGGGAAAAATAGAAAAAAAATAATTCAATATTAAATGGACTTTTATAGTACAGATAGTCTTTTTTAAATAAAACAAAACAAAAATATCAGTATAGGGGTTGTGAAGATTGTTAAGTTTTTGATTGAGATCATAAACCGATTGATGTTAGACCATCAGGTTTTCAATGGTGGTCTAACATCAATCGGTTCATGATCTCAATCAAAAACAAAAATAATTGGCTTTTTAAAAAATAAAAACAAATAGAAAACAATATTTCGACTTTTTGTAGTGATTAGGAGGAGAAGAAAAAGAAGGAAGAAACTATAAATATCAAATTCTAATTGTTTTAGTATGGTTTATTCTAGGCCATTTAGTTGTTGATAAAATATAATAAAATATTAAGAAGTGTTTTTAAACAGAAACTCAAAACGTCTGGTAGGCTGTTGAAAATCAAAGAGCAGTAAAAATTCCTCATAAAGTAGACATTAAAAAAAAACCTATACAAAACTGAACTTTAGATGTCTATTTATTTATTTGTTTTTTGTGGTGACCATTGGATCAGTGCCAAATAGTTGACATTTTCCAGATATCACTTTTAAAATAGGAATCATTTTATGATAGTTTGATTAACTTGAATGTTTATAATTAATGAATTTTTAATGATTCATGATACTGACTACACATAGAAGACATGGTCTGAAAGGATGAATATAATGTATAAAATAATTTATTTTAGATAGACAGAAATTAAATATATCTAGGCCCCCAAGAGTGATTTCTAGATGCCTCTAACTTTAGCTCTTATCTAGATAGTCTGCACTTACCTCCAGAGCTTACTTCAACAGTCAGTGTTTAGATGAACTGATCCTAAGTCCTTGTTTTGGATCCCCCTAGTTTTCTTCCAATATAGTCTTATACTGGTTAGCAGTGTACTTCAAGGTAGGTGTTAGTATTGTTTAAACAAAGCATTTTTTAGGCATCTTGATCAACAAATGATATAGTATTTGACTTATTATATATTCGAATTCAATGTTTTGTTGTAAAGTGAAACAATATCTATTAGAAGCCATTTATGAAGATTGTACAATCCAAAGTTAGCTTTCATCACGGGATGATATCAACTACAACACTCTTCTAAACCAGGTTCTGCTGACTGATCTTGGTAATCCAGTGCTGTAAAAGCTTCACATCTGATCCTGTATCGAGTCAAGAATAAGTAGTTCTAAGTTACAAGGAATAAATAACTTTACAGTGCTCTATGGTTTTTAATGATTCCCTAAGCAATTTCAATCGTTGATTAAAACCCGCTTCTAAATCAATTAATCCGTTAAATTATTATGGATAAGCTTGTTTAAGTTGTTATAGATATCTTTGAACTACGTAGATATCAATTATTTAGAAAAAATCTTATTATCGTACAAGTCCCTACTTTTTATTCGACAAATCCTCACCGAAAGTACTCCATAGATCTTAATTATTAATCCATTATTATTGATTTACAATTTTAGGACGTAATAAAAACAAGACAACAAGTTGGTAATGGAACCACAATTACAAATGTTCTAAATACACTATTAAAAGAAAAAAGCTACAAAATATTTTTCCGTGGATTTAACGTTGTTATCACTAGAGCATTTGTAGTTAATGCATGTACATTCGCTGTCTACGAAACAGTTTATGAACATCTTAAAAAATATTAGTGATATTGGAATTTATCTTATTTTTGCTGCTTAATGCGATTGTTTTTATAAAGTTTGGAAAATATTTTATTGAAAAGATTTATTATTCAGATTGCTAGTTAAAAAGATTTGGTTTGTTATTTACCGATAAAGTAACTGATATAAATTGAAGTAGCAAAGAGCCTAATGTCATGGGTTACTAAAAAATCTGATAAAATTAACACTCATTTCTTATCGAGGATTATAAACCAGTATGAGGAATTAGGATTATGATTTAATGTTGATGGTTAGGGTAAGGAATTAGACTTAGGGTTTCTATCACTAAACGAAATCAGCTATAATGCCAAAATCATATTTAACTATGTAGATGAATGAATTTCGCTCCAAAATTCAAGACCTGTTATTCTAGATCTGATTGGTACGTCCATAAATTAAAGTCTCACTACTCTGCCGTAACCTGAAGGTCATCCTAAATTATAGTTTTACAATTTCAATTAGGTACTGGCACAAACGTATTGAGGTAATCATCAATCTGTTTACATTTAATTCAAATTTATCCTCTCAAGTGAATCTGTTTATATAGGCTTCAAGTACACAGTCAACTAAATCTTATTGGATAGGAATACTTTATTAGGAGCCTGAAGTTCTATGTGGATTTTTACAATGTACCAAACCATCAATTTAACTAAGTTGTTCAATTATCTCTAATAAAAAACAAATCTATAAAGATAACTTTTCACTATACTATAGCACTTAATAAACTGAAGAGCAGCCATCAATTGAATGTTTTATTTATGGAAAGTTGTTTGATTATCACTATAATTCTCATCATGGGTTCACACAGATATCCCATAATATAATAGGAGTGAAACAGTACACATGCACTGGAAAATAACATCAAATGTTAAAGGCAATGAAAAGCAGAATGATATAGAACAAGTTATAATAATTTATAAAATGAAAACATTGAAAAATATTGAATGAAATCATCTTTACTTTGTCTTTTTTTTTGATGATTACTTTCTGAAATTCAAATAGACAATTATAAATATACACAAACACTCACAAAGACATCAATATAGAAATGCAGAATTTTTCAGTTATATGAAATTAAATAATAAGCAAATCTGGACAAGAAAGATTAAAAATAGGTCATTGAAACTTTACTCTTACTCGTGTTTGGGTCGGTGCGTATATAGTTGAATAATCATAATAATAATAGTCATTATAACTGTCGTCACATATTGATAGAAAATAAAACCAGATAATTTGTTGATTATTTTTTATTTGACCAATGAAAAGAAGCAAATAAAGTTGAAGCTAAGAAAAGAAAACAACAACAAGTTAGACCACACAAAAAAATGCACAGAAAACAAAATACACTATAATTCGATTGATGAGTGTAAATGTTCTGAAAATAAAAATAAAAATGATGACAACGAACGAAAGCACAATGGTAATGTTCTATTACACAAAAACATTTTGTTGTTGTCAGGAATAGAGTGATTGAAATATTTCTTCAATGATTGTTTGTTATTAAGAAAAATAAGACAAAAGTTTAGGTTAATTCTTTTTCATGAAAAAAAATGTATAGAAATGTAAACACTTAGATTTTTATATTTTAATACAATATACACGTAAATTGGTTAAATGCATAAATTGACTTTATTGTCAATGAACTTATCCTCAAAAGATTTGATGATGATAATAAAGTTTAAAAATGTAATTTCCGGTAATATTAAATAAATTGTCATAGATTCAAACAAATGAATTTGAAATTCACTCGGATGTATTAAATTAAATATTATTTAGAATTATGTTGACAAGTATGTAATATATGGTTAGGAATTTCTTCTTTGGAAATAATGAATTAAAAAATAATAATAATAATAATAATCAATGAACAAAACTTTCCATCTTAATAGATAAACTCTGATGAACAAATAAATGTAATTTGATCAGAAAAGTATCTAGTTCTATGTTGAAATCTATTCAGTTATACATACAGTAGATAAAATGGTTAACTACTTATTCAAAAGTAGTGAAAGTAAACAGATAACGAGAGAGAGAGTATGGAAGAGAAAGAAAAAAGGAATGAATACTTTTTTCTTTTGTAAACAAATCTTCTTTTGGTTTTTAATCAACATTTAGCATCATGAAAAAATGATTTGTGTTCATTTGTCTTGTATTTAATATCAGTAATTATAAGTGATTGAGTAATTAAAGTCAATTAAATGAATATGCCGTGTGTACAAAGTATGTATTACATTTCAATTAATTGTGGGAATATGTTTATTATCTATCCAGAATGTTCACTAAAAAGAGAATTATATGAATACAAGTAGAGTTTATCAATTTATTGATGAACAAAAATAATAAAATCTTATAATACCCTATGAATATTTAACAAACAAATCATATATATATATATATATATATATATATATATATATATATATATAAATCCCTTACGCTGTAGAAGAAATTCATATTTGGTCCAATTAAATGTTTCAAATTAACCGTAATAAATAGATAGTTTGAAAGAAACGTCCTATGCATTGAGGTTATGTCGTTTTCTAGGCTTACGTTTTAATTATTCGGAAATGTTTAAGTAATTATGCAAGAATTCATAACTATCAATACCAAATGAACATTCACATGATAACTCATATATTCTCATTAGTATTCCCGGATCAGTTGGGTGTTAATTGCTTCTTTAAAATCGAAAATCGAAATCTTTTGATTGGATATTTCATAAAACAGTTAATATCTCTTTAGTTTATGACAACAGCTCAAAAGTATAAGCGATAAATATTTCATGTTATGATTCAAGGTACACGTTTGCGCATGATAAATGTTAAAAATTACTATTTACAACTAATTATATTATTGCTATGTGAATAAATGTAAGAGAAAAAGTTTCAGTGTGAAAAAGTTATCAGCTCCAGTATATAATCGCCCAAAATATATTAGTGAATATCTGCTCTCGATCACTTTCAACTTTCGAAAAAGTGATGTCCAATGAAAACATTAAAATTTAAATTAAAACTTCATTCTAACTCTCTCCAAACATTTAATGTTAGGACAGAATGCACTATGGTTTCTAGTCATGTAGACCAATGACTACATTGAAAAGTGCACTGATTAAATTCATTCAACACTAAGGATTGAACAATATGAAATCAGAGACTATTCAGTCATTGAATTACTGTTAATTAATACATCAGTATCTAATATTTACATATACTATGGAAACCTTTTAATTTTGCTGCATCTATTGAGCAGTATGGAGTATTTTTGTTGACGTTTAACACTTGTCATCAGTAATTCATGCCAATTTAGATAAAAGCTTATTTTATACACGTAGACGATAACTTTTAAATATAAATATCGTCTTCAGAAAAACACTGGAAATACTAAAACTTCTATAGTTATTTCTAATTGATTAAATAGACGAACGATTGGGCTGAAATTTCTTAGATTCTTCCTTCTAAACGAAAAAACAGCAATGTTCAAGCAGTTGATAGAAGCAAATACCTTGAAATATTTTTCAATCATTAATCATCATTTTCAACACGATACAGTTCGATCCACATAATTTAAAAGGGTCAAGGGAAAAGATCATTCGACATAGCCACAACATACATTTGTGAATGATGAGTATGATTTCAATTTTACTTATCCATTTCTATAAAATATTGAAATAAATATCTGTAAACAGTTACAATTTACGGTAGTATTTATTCGTTACTAGTAGTGAAATACAGAAAATGTCTCTTTTGGAATTTTCCTAGTTAATTTCATCTGAATTTCTTACCATAAACCTACTTTTTAACAGCCACCATGTACTGTTGAAAACTGATCGATGACGTATTGTGCCAGAGTTAATATTTTCAAGATAGACTGATTGATTTAATTGCATAAATCAAGGTGAGACAAAAAGTCCTATTATACCAACTCTAATATATTTGTATTAATTTATAGACTATATTCATGGTTCAGAAGATAAAGAGTGAATTATGCTAGAAAATATGCTTACCTTTATTATATGCTCAAAACCACTGACATTTGACCCAGATCTTCCTCTAGAAGAGAAATATTCAGAATCTAAATCTTGTTGATCTTTTGGTGTTGAGCCAATAGTAGAGAAATTTGTTTTCAGTTCTTCAGAATCATTATTTGATAGAACACATGGAACGTTGACCAAAGTAATGGGTGATATTGAACTAGGTCCATCTCTGTCTTCACTGTTTACGGATGGGTCTACATTAGTAGTTGCAGTAGTTACAGCAGATGTAATTGAAGAAGTGACAGAAACAGTTGATACTTCATTTATAGGGCCGTGCACACTAGATAAACTTAAGGAGGAATCACTTGAGAGATTACTGGCTCGACCTGTATTTCCTAAGCCTAAAACTGGTGTATACGAAGTCCTTAAATCTTCTCCTGGTAAATGTGAATCAATCAGAACTTCAAGAAAGTTCACAAATAACTGAGCAGTATCAGCGTTCTGATTCGCCTGAAATGAAATTAGAAAAGAAATACAGCTAGTAAATAACTTTGATGAATCCTGCTTGAAATTTAGTTTGTCATGGAATTAGTGACGTTAATATGTAATCCCAAAATCAATCAATATCAGATTTATCAAGCGACTGATTAAATTGACGTGAAATTCTTATACAATAGAGAATTAGTATACGTTTTCACACATCGAAGTAACTCAGAAGCAAGTAATAGTTGAATAATGATACTAATGGTTATTGTTGTCAAAACTAATTGGTGTGTGAAAGTGAATGTAAAATGGGGTCTATCACTGAGTGTCGATCGCGAGATATAGCCCAATGAGTGCTTAATATGTGATTTCCTTTTCTCTCATTGATTTCTGCTCCGGATTAACTGAGACTGATTGCTTGTTAATGTATTCAATAAAGTATTTTCTAGTCTATTCTGGGTCGTGAATCCTGAATCTGACATAATGTGATTAGTCTTATTATAGTATCAACGTATCATCGTAGTATACTCGCGCGCGCGCGAGAGAGAAATATTTTGAACCATCCAACATATCACTATTATAATCAGTTATTCGAAGTCAAACAATGTGAATGTGACCATCTTTTGCAACAAACTATAAAGTTATCATAATCAATGTTAAGGCATTTCATTTGTGCTTTTAAAATGATTAATCTCTGTCAATCTAAGAAATATCGAGTGAATAACAATCCTAGTTACAACACAGAATGTATTTAGCAGTTATTATATTTTAATTCAGTGCTTTGATGTGAATGGGGTTAGATTGAAAATTACTGTTATAATAAATCT